TTCAAGACCGAGGTCTTCGTGTCATTTGATGCTCGGGTGCTGTATATTTGATGTGTTTGTGTGAATCTTCTGTAGAGAGCTCATCTATTGACTTGGTGGGAATGGCGCTCCGTACGTTCATTGATCTTGGGGTAAGTGATTCTATACATCCTGATTTACTGTATATACCCCCACACACACAACTAGAGTAGCTGTAAATAAAAACCCAAGGCAAGATACACTGAGAACAGTAAAGTGTAACAAACTGTAGCAGGTGTTGTAATAAAGGACAGTTAATTTGGCCTCTCCTGACTAAACACCATTTCTCTGTTCCTGCACTTCAGGTGTTGACTGAGGACAGACAGAGAGAAGATGTGTATCTAGACGTCAGCCCTCTCTTCTCTCAGTCTATTTACAAAGAGAAACTCTTGCAGTTTTTCAAACAGTTCATTACTAAAAGAGAAAAGTAAAAGACTCCAAGGAGTCAGTCTCAGCTGGGAATGAGAACAGTTGGCGCTTCTGAATTTACTATTCAGTTCTTCAGGGTTGTTTAAATAATTAATTATGCATGTTATTTTGTGTGTGTGTGTGTGTTTATACATGCATATTACCTAACACACTTTATTTCTGTAGCATATGTGATGCTGAGGCTGCTTTTTTTGTTCATTGTTGCCCAGATTTGGTTTAGTTTTTGGTTAGATAATCACCATTCAGATGGTTAAATATTGTTCTCTGTTTATAAAGAGCAGATAAATTGCAAGATGTTTTTTCCCTTCTTTTTTTCATTGAATGGTTTTGTTTGAGTCTTGTTTACTTGTATAATGAATATATATATATATATATATATATATGAAGAGTTCAGATGCTAAAGCCTCTAAATGCCATTTGAAATTTTCTTCTTTAATGATGATTTTTATCAAACTTGTATATTTAAGTTCAGTAATTTTACTTAAATGGCAATGATAATTACCTATTAATTGTTATTTAAGTGAAATTACTGAACTTAAATATACAAGTTTGATAAAAATCATCATTAAAGAAGAAAATTTCAAATGGCATTTAGAGGCTTTTGCATCTGAACTCTTCATATATATATGGCTCTGTTCAGTACACAAGTTTCTAACAATTTATCCAGTTTGTAGTGTTTCTGTCATGGTTTGATTTATAGTTTTTCCACACATCACTATATACTGCATGAATCTTCATATGCACAAACATTCTGCGTTATCTTTATGACATTACCTAAAACATTAGGATGAAGTATCACATACATTTCCTTCCCATGCATATTCTGCTTCCTTTAGCACAAACACTGAATACCATTAAGAACTATTCCACTGAATCTTGAAACAGGGGACCAAAACATGTCCCGCTCTAACCTGTCATGCTTTAAAATCAATGTGGGATTATCACTAGAATATACATCTTATTTACTGCAAATTAAAATGATAATTCTTTAAATATCTATAAATACACACTAAAAAACATCTAAACAATTCTTATGTTAAAAATATAGGTTCTTTTACACTAATATACGAATTAATGAAAAAGGTGTTGTTTTCAAAAAATACAACAGGTTCTTGTACGCTAATATATTAAAAAAAATATGAAAAAAGTGTCGTTTAAAAAATAAATAAATAAAAACACAGACCAACACGTCTACATCTTATATATGATGAACATATACTGTACCATGTTCTGAGAGAGATGTATTCAAGTTTTTTTTTATTTTTTATTTACTGCAAATCAAAATGATAATTCTTTAAATATCTATAAATATTCACTAAAAATCATCTAAACAATTCTTATGTAAAAAATATAGGTTTGTGTACACTAATATATAAAGAATTAATGAAAAAGTGTTGTTTTCAAAAAATAAATAATAGGTTCTTGTACACTAATATATATTAAAAAAAAATGAAAAAAAGTGTCGTTTTCAAAAAAATAAATAAATAAAAACCCAGACCAACACGTCTACATCTTATACTGTATATGATATGATGAACATATACCATGTTCTGAGAGGGAGGTGTTCAAGTTTTCAATCATGTTCATACTGTTCATAAGATGTTTTTATAAACTATTTAAAAAAAAAAAAATCAAATACCAAAATCAAATCCTTTCCTTTTTACCCCACCTGTTGTGTTCAACATCACAGGCTCTTGTGAAATTTTTCAGTAACTCTCAGTAATTGGTGAGAGGAAATGAGTCGAGTCAAATCCGCCATCAAAACAAATTCAAAAGATTTTTAGATAATTTGCCTCTGCTTTCATTATTATGTCAGATTAAAGAGAACGTTGTCATGGTATCACCACTGTAAGATTTTCTGTATTCAAAAGACAGCTACAATCTTTTGAAACCATCCCGTAGTCTCAACTCATAACTAGAGTTAAATGCTAGATTCACAGGATATCATAGACATTTGACATTTAGAGAATGTAATACTTCAAAATGTAAATGAATAACAGATTAATCTTAAATAAGTCCCGTGTCTCAAGAATCAGTGTATTGGTCTTGAGTTTCAGGTTTTCACTAAATGACGGGTAATAAGCATGATGGATGGTTACAGAGACACAAGCAGTGCCGATCACTCACTGGAAATGACTGGCTCTATATATATATCTATCACTTGACAATCTCATATAGCCTATAAACACCCGTCCATGCAACATGAGAACCATTCTAAATGTGCATTAACCCAGGAACATCATTCTTGTGTATCTTAATACTGAGCAACACACGAGTGAGTGGCCCTGAACACGTCCGTCTTAACAAAAAGACTTAACGGACGGCTGCTGCTCGTAGTGCAGAAATGCTGAACAAGCTCTCTAGAGACATCCAGACAATCGACCCGCGGACAACCGGCTATCAATAACACATGAGCGGGAAAGCTGGAGACAGCAAAAGAATTGGGTAATTAACAAGAAATAAGATGGCTTGAGAAATAACAGCTGGCAACTGCTCTCTGGGATTCACAGGATTAACACTGTCCCCTGTGTTACGGTCCCACTTTCCTTCATACATTTATTCAAGTGTTTTAAAGGGGTGATGAACTGAGAAATCAAATTTTCCTTGAGCTTTTGATATCTAAGAGGTCATCATATTATAAGAATATGTAAGTTTCAGAACTGAAAACGCCCTTGTTAGTCCAATAAAAGCTTTTATTGACACCAGCCTCTGCCAGCGACTCGTTTTTCAAAGTGGGGAAATATGACGACAAAGAGGATAAAACACCACCCCCGCAGAAGAAGATCAACTCCTACGTCAGCACGGCCGGTTTAGCCCCGCCCACCGATTCGCACATTACACGCATAGCTAAATAGCATAGGCCTACCTCGTGATGACAAACCGGATCGAGCTACCGAGCAATACAGAATATTGTGGAAGAAGACAGTGGCTGAATAAGCTTCCTCTGGATTCAAATAGGACGGATAAACTTTATTTTTAATGACGTTCCAGCTGATGAGGGTAAAACATCGTCCGTCTGTTCGTTTCATTTCACTGAGGATTGTTTTGTAAACAAGACTGGATTTGCAGACCGATTAAGAGTAAAGAACGGTCCTGTGCCGTCTACATTGGATCTGACAGGAATTGTGCAACACACAGACTCTGGGTCGAACATGTATGGGCCAATCATTCTGGTTGCCATTTTACAACATTGGACGTTTTCAAAACAATTTCCCCCACGTACACCGACGGGTGAGTTGAAACTCATTATAATATGCAAAACTGTTATCCACTCACAGCAGTGGGCGTTTACTTCCAAGTCTTCAGTGCGAGACTGCCTTAAAAACCGACCGTTTTTGAGCTGGTGTCAAAGCTAGGGTAGAAAATAGCCTATTACTTATTCATTTTGATGTTTTTGAATGCAAAAACCAAGCGAACGTCATAAGTCGACCTCAGACAACAATATAATAATTTTTTTTTTTTTGTGATCAATTATTTATTCAATTTCTTACAATCATCCTTTACACACTAGAGAGGGAAACATTTTCACAGGAGAGAAATAGGCTGACCATCATTACCAGTATAACAGAAGCACACAATATTGCTTGTTCAGATGCCAGTATCTCTTCTCCTCCCCATATCCTACCCAACCCAAACCCACCCTCCAGCCCCTAGCTAGATTCGCTCAAGGTATGAGCAACACGCACAAAAAAAAAAAAAAAAACACCCATACTCGACACTCTACCACACACATACACATCAACCCTTTCCCATTGCCACCCGTCCATCCTACCTCATTGTGAAAACCACAAAAGTCCGCAAAACATCATAAAACACAAAGCAGAACACCGGACATTGAAAGAATTCAGGCCTCCACCTTCATATTATAGGAACCACATAGGTCAATACAATATTTTGAGTAATAATTACATAACAAAACTAAACATTACATTAAATGCAAATTACATTAAAAAAAAAAACCAACAATATAATAAAATTTAAAGAGCCAGTTCATGACCCCTTTAAAGTCAGAATGAAACTTGAATTAAGCTGAAGTTGCGCAATGACTTAACCAATCAGCCATTTAAAATAAAGTATTCCGCATTGCAGTTTCTCCCATTCATGAGTAATAGGAGTGAACGGCACCTAATGAGCTAATAAGCATATCCAGATGGGTTATTGAACCACAGAACTGCATTGACATAAATGAATCAAACTTACAGGCTGAGTTGAAAAAGTCAGCTTTTCAGTCATCATGGCCAATTAAACAACAAACAAACGAATGATCTGGTTCTGCTGTCGAGGATAACGCCAGGAAAAATGACTGAACCAGCTCATTTGGTTCTTTTTGATTCGTTCATTTTGAACTGGTTCTTTGGTTCAATAAGCCATCATTGGTTCATCCAGCTGCACAAGGAGCAGTGCTACATAGTTTGATTCTTTGAACCGGCTCGACTGGTTTCCAGCTTAAAAGAATGATTAATTCAGTGAAGAATCATCACTAGTATTTTTCAATCATAAAGAGAAAGCTGATCATTACTAGCACAATAGCAACAACAACAAAAATCACTAAAGCCTGTTTATGGTTTTTATTCATTTTAAAGGGTTTCAATAAAAGTCCTACATGTTTAAAAGTCATCTTAGTTTGAATAACCTGATGCACACACACACAAACCAAATTGTTTCTGGGAACCAAGCCTATCTACAGTATCTCAAGCTGAGAATAGATGGACAAGAATGCCAACGTACACGGGTCAGTGATGCCCTCTACTGGAAGTGATCTGTTGTGTATCCTGTTCATGAAATCCCAGTTTGATTGACATTCACATGGAATTGACTTCTTTATGAAAAATACATGTGTGCCAGATTCGGCGATGATTCGAAAAAAAAATTATGCATTCAAAAAACTTTTTTATTTAAGAAGTGGCCCAGAGCATAATGTGCATTCGATTTACGTCTTCAGCTAAAATAAAAAAATCAGTGTTTTGCAATGTGACAATATGAAATGATTAGATTCCGTATTGGCACTTGGATCTATGTCGCAGATCTTCCTGTTACACGACTGTGTTCCGTATCGATCCAATCTCATCAATCTGACACTCCACAACATCTCCTCTCTGAAACAGATCATTAAAGTTACTTCATTACAATATACCGACCTTCAAAAAATACAATATAATGATATAACGAAAACAATGTTAAAATAACATCTCCTGCCTCAGGAAACAAATTATACATGTTAATACACTTAAGGACTTAATTTATAGGAAATTAGCTGCTTTTTTAATTTCAGGAAAAATAAACAACCTACATCTACTGGGACACAGATTTAATAATTTAATTTACATGTTATACATTCAAATATATAAGTTTTAAGAGAGTACACTTTCTGTTAACAGACAATCTAATGATGTGCTTTTACCCAGAGGGGCTTGTAAACCCCAGTGTACCAGATACATGCAAAAGTTTTCTAAAGGAACTAACACTGTTCTGTTGTGTAAATTGCATTTCTAATCACACAGGATTAATGTTAGTTATTTTCTCAAACAGCTCTTTTGGTGTAAATGATGTGTGGTGTGTTCTCCTGGGCACGGTGTGCTGCCACATTTTTTATTCAGGTTGATTTCCAAAAGAAGAGTTGCAGCAGCTGCTGTTATGATGGTTTGATGTGTTGCTGCGATTACTGTTATTATTAAAGCTACACTGTGTAACTTTTTTTATTAAAAAGTAAAAAGAGGGTTCAAATAAAATCCATCTTTCAAACTTGTCTATCAGTCATATAATGGAGGTCTATGGTCACCACCTCAAACATGATTTAATGACTCAGACCTAAGTACACATTGATGGCCTAATATACGAAACGAGCGGTTTGTGTGAGAAAACGAACAGTATTTATATTGTTTTTACCTCTTGTTGTAACCACAGCCACGTCCAAGTGATCTGAGTGCGCGGGCGCTTCGTGGCTATGGTTACAAGAGGTAAAAACAATATAAATACTGTTTGTTTTCTCACACAAACTGCTCATTTCGTGTCTTAGGCCATCAATGTGTCCTTACATTTACGAGTCATTAAATCATGTTTAATTTGGACTTCTCTGTGCATGCTCTTTGAGGTGGTGACCATAGACCTGCATTATATGACTGATAGACAAGGACGGTTTGACCTAAAAATATCAAAGTTGAAACTACTGCGGAAACAAAGACACCTACATCTTGGATGCTAAAACATACCAAAAATTAACTATCCCTATAAAGTTTGTTGTCACGAGAAATTAAAAATTGGGTAATTTAAAATGGCAAACATCCAGGGAATCACTGTTTGTGAAAAAAAAAAAAAAGCCGAAGCACAACCAAAACAATATTCTTCCACAACACATCCAATTTTGTTTCTGAACTGTTAGAGGTCAAAAGCTAAATAGTAGTTACACCTTATAAATCTACAATTCAACTACTTTCACAGAAACAACTATATAAAATCTTAGTTGACTTTTTGATGGGAATTCTAGTTAATAAATTAGCTAGGTATAAATTAGCTAATAGTAAACAAAAGAAACCTTTGTTGTAAAGTGTTACCTTTTATTTTCTTTCTATTTTTAACCAAATTATTTTTTTGTGATGTTACATATTGAGATTAAAAAAACGCATTTGTGTGTTTCAGCTGATAGTGTTTTCTTATTTTAGTTTCATTATATTTCATTGAATTATCTACACCTATAAAATGCGATTAGATGATATTAAGATTCGATCTTCATGTACAATTGTTCTTGATAAAGAGTGTGTTCCAACTAGGAAAACCTGCAGAACAGCTGAAACAGATGTAGAACAATAAGTCAGTAATTGTCTCTTTGCAGCGTTTTGTTCGGCCCTGCGATTCCAGTGTTCCTGTGTCAGTTCAATCAATGCCCATTAGAAAGTCTAAACACTGAAGCCATGTGCCTCTTTCGTTTTTAAACTTGGGTTTCGTGTGAAAACTGCCATTACGCCAATGTCAATGAGGCTATTACAGCTGGTCTTGTGTTGTTAAGTTTCAACTGTTCTCATTGTGTCAGCGTCAGTCACACTGTTATGACCGTTTGAACAGAAGGGAATCAGAGGTTTTGAATTTAGGCTTTATCTGTGCAGCAAAACAAAAGGTTTCAGGAAAGGCTCTAAACAGGTGTTAACAGCCTCTGCCAGGTGCAGTGATTGTGAGTTGTGACGCCAACCCAGCAATGTTGAAATATACATTGATTTTCCTCACCTTTAGAAACACGGGTGGATTTCTGAACACCCCCACACCTGGAGGCGTTCCAGTCAAAAACACATCGCCAGGACAAAGAGTCACAAACCTGCAGGGGGAAAAAAACAATATATAATTGAATACATGCATTACTGATTATGTACTTGCATTAATAAAATACATTTAAATAACTGCTCAGCAACAAAAACATAATATAATACATGGGGTATTATATTATGTTTTAATGGGGTATAATATAATACCCCATTAAGCATTATTATATACAATAAATTATGGTTACTCTTTACAATAATCAGTCCCTCCAGAAAAAAACGTGTGTGATTTAGTACAAAATCAGCCAAAGTCCGCATATTTATGTGGAGGGGCGCGTTTTTTCAAATACGCCACACTTTCGCTGCATAAATTAGTGATTTCCGCGAAAATATACAGGGCTTGCATGATTTCATAATCCTCGCATTTGCGTTACAAAAAATTCACATACATCTTAGTAGAAAGTTAAAAAATGTTGCGTTTACTTCACACGAGCAGCCGTTTCTCCCTGTTGCCATGGTAACGTTATAAAGTGACGTAATTACACAACGTGAACATCATCGAAAAGCTGCAAAACAGGAGCACGCTTTATTTTTTAAATTCTACTTATTCATTTTTACAGAAGTTGTAGCATATTCCTCTTGTAAAGCTACAAAACTTGTTTGACTCATCAATGTTTTATGCCTGGTTCAGATTACACGATTTTAGCCTGATTTTGGCACGATCCGTTTGACGTAGGGTGTCGTGGGGATTCGTAAATGACAACGGGCGTCGGGACTCGTAAATGACAAGATTCGAACGCATCATCTCGTATAGTGTTTCATAGTGGGCCACAACCTACGTCGCTTCTGCGATGCTTCACGACATCACAACAAAAATACTAGCATGTTTAATTTTTTTTACGGTCGTCCACGACGATTCCGTCACATGTATGAGGTTGACCAATAGGAGCACAAGCTTTTCCGTATACAACTTTCAAAAAAGACAAAACGAAAGAGAGACGATGGTGCTAACGTTAAAACTAGAGGTAAAAATACGTAAGAAAACAATATTTTACCTCAAGTTCTCTTTGGAGGATTGACAGCCCATACTGTCCTCTTCGAACAGGGTTCTTAAGTCTCACGCAATGGCCGTGAGACATGCAATTCAACCAGTTCACACACTCACACGCCACACCATGTAATTCTCACGTTGAAAAGGCAATGCCGAGCAATCCAGGAAGTCACACGCTACGAGTTTCGCCTTCTCAATGACATCACGCGTGCCGTTAAGCACGGCATGCGATGACTGGTCAGGAAGTAACGTGTTGTCTGACATGTGTCTTGTCCACGACACGACAAAATTTTAGGAGCCAAAATCGCGTAATCTGACACAGTGACTATCGTAACAGGCAAAAAAAAATCGTGTAATCTGAACCAGGCATTATATGTTCGAGGATGTGTTTATTAAAGTCTGAAATAAAACAAGAGGACAACTTAAATATTCCCAGCACTTTCTGTGATGTACCGTACATGCTTGTTATCATAGGAAGTAATAAGAAATGACTCTACAGTAGCCTTGTGAGAACATGGTGTTGGGGAATCACTTTTTTTCTCTTTTTCATCGAACCACAGTTTTTGCAAGTTCCCGCAATTTCATTGCATAAATATCCCGCATATTCCATCGCATTTTTAAGTAAACAGGCCGCACAATCAAGGATTTTTGACCGCAACAATCACAAAAAAACTTGTTTTGAATTTTGACTGAATAATGTTTCTTTAGTTAACATGAACTAATGATAAATTGCACTTCTGCAGCATTTATTAAATGTTAATTGAGCACCAAATCATCATATAAGAATGATTTCTGAAGGATCATGTGGCATTGAAGACTGGAGTAATGACTACTTCACCATCACAGTAATAAATGACATCTTAAAATATATTAAAATAGAAAAGATTTATTTTTAAATTATAATTGTAAACCATATTTTGACTGTATTTTTTATCAAATAATAATACATTTTATTTATTTGGTGCCTTTCTGGACACTCAAGGTCGCCTGTAAATGCTATACTAATAAATACTATATTAAACCTGAGTTTTCTTACTGTGAGACCCAAGCCACCACCTTCTCGGTGTGAAAGATCAACTGATTGGTGTTACTGTCCTGAACTGCGGCTCCATTCACCAGGCAACGGATACCCAGGTTATGAACATCTGTTTGAATAAGATTAACTCGATTTAAGACCAGGAATAATATCACCATCACTAGTTTTAACTCCCAAATATAATATATGTCCTACTGTGTTTTCATATATTCAAGTACCTTTCAGTGCTTCAGTGGTAACTAGTGCCGGCCCGAGTGGACAAAACGTGTCGAATGTTTTTCCCAGCAGCCACTGTTTTCCATTGCGCTTCATCTGCCAATCACGAGCACTCACATCATTCGCTACAGTGAAACCTGCAACATAGGAAAGAGCCTCCCCTTCCTGAAACAGACACATTTATTTCACATCAGTTAGGTTGGGACATTTGTTGAAATTCCAACAGGAATGGCATAAGATATAGGAGAATATGGAGCTCATACTCAAAGAAAATAAAATAATTAAAAAAAAAAAAACATCTGAATTTTATACAGAGGACCAAACTGAGCAAAACTGTGCAATTTGAAACAAATGTTATATATTTTGCCAAAAACTAGGATGAAATACTGAGCGCTTGTAATGTAAATCAAGGAGATCTTTATAACTGTGCAGACTACTTACATTAAATGCATATACATATTAGTTTTCACTCTATATCTCCCAATAGTCTTATTAATATTTAATAAGTGTATTATTAAATGATATTAAAATGCGTAGTTTTATGATCAAAGCTCTGTAGTTTTTATTGTAGGGGAAAAACATGAATGTTCTTTCTTTTTTTTTTTGTTGTTGTCATGTAATGCAATGCAAAACAATGAAGATTGAGAGGTGTACAAATAAACATTCCTGAAAGGCCTGATGTATCATATATGATACTTACATTTTAAAACAATTTTTTTCTAAAAAAGAATTATGCTTGGATTAATCAAGTGAAAAGTTACTTCAGTCCATGAAGTGTTCATCTTGAAATATTACTAACAATATCAAAACATTATTACATTTATTTAATAACATTTTCCTTAAGGTTAACATTTTAACCTTTTAGAATGATCCTAAAAAAAGCCTATTAAAAACTATTAATCAGCAAAGTTTTTTCATGTTGAAAATTAGTGGCCTTAGAAATGTGTGCATCAATTATGATATAGTGGATTTTATAGGGTTAATTGTGTTATATTGCGTATTCTGACTTCACATTCAGCATTTGTCAAAAATTAAATGAGATTGTGTCCCACTAGAGCTGCTGAAATGGCCTGTTATGTTTAATATAGTAAATCTGATCAATCAATTAACAGAATATTTTCATTTTAAGATGCGTCAACACATGGTTGTATATACTGTAAATGACTCTTTTACTACCTTGATATGCTTTCCTTTTCGTCCAATCACAAAGGCAAGTTCCACCTCCCAGTCCACTTCCTGTGAATGAGCCGCCACAAAGTGAAACTAAGGATTTCATTCTCGCACACCAGAGTAAAAACACTAGAATTTTTCTACATGTACAAAATCTTCAATACTCACAAGTTGTATACGGCAAACAAAAAACTGCATGTGCTGACATTACGAGAGTCTTACAGTCTTATAGAGTAGTTATTCTTTAGTATTGAGTGCAATTGTTGGGTTAAAGTGACACCAAGTGTTTGTTCGAAAATGTGTTATAATCCTGAGCTCACCTGACTCTCCTCTGGTAGAATGATGTCATCATAAGGGCCAGTGATGGTGGAGGGGAACTTGCTGAATATGATGGGCTCTTTAGGAATCGGGGCATTTTGCTCGAGGCAGTGGTCCTTATAATTCATACCAACACACACCACCTTCTCTGGGCCAGTCACGGGGGAGAGAAGCCTGATATCTGACCGTGACACCACATGCTGACCGCTGGACAAAGCCCTGAGAGAGACCCATAATATAAAGATATCTTTCATAAAATAACACGCTATATATATATATATATATATATATGAATGCCTTAATATATATATATATATATATACACCCACACAGCTGTGGTCAGAATTGATTGATTGGAACTTCTTAATATTGTCCTGATGGTTAAAATGGGGATTTTCAATTCTTTAGCTATTTTTTTTACAGCCACTTTCTATTTTGTGAAGCTCAACAATCTTTTGTTGCACATCAGAACTATATTCTTTGGTTTTACTCATTGTGATGGATGATTAAGGGAATTTGGCCTTTGTGTTTCCTCATATTTAAATGTATACCAATTGGAAAACCAATTTTAGGGCTGCCAATAATTGTAGACAATGTGTTTTGGAGAAGAAAAAAAAACATTTATTTCATAATGTGATTTCCCCGCCACTTTCAAATGTTTCACCTAAATGAAAGGTTAGATATTTGCACATTTTTTTGAATGAAAGAAGGATAAACAATTTTAAAAGCCATTTTTGATCATATTTACCAGGGGTGCCATTAATTCTCTCAATAATGACGCACAACGCAATGACGAATGCGGTTTTCCGGGCCTGTGTGTTTGAACCGAGAGAGGCTTCAACTGCCGTCATTACGTCGCGGGTCATTTTCAAGTATTACTCTTTAAGTGTAAGTCGGTGTGTATGACCGTCTGCCGGAAGCTACTTATTTTAGTCGATAAAGTTTTAAATATGGACATTTTTCTAACATGAACGCATCACTTTGCTTCTGAAGGCCTTTATGAAACCCTCAAATACATGTGGAGCACTTTTATCATGAATAGATGCGCTTTGATGGACTTACAAAGACATACAGCCATTCACTCCCATTATAAAGCTTGGAAGAACCAGGACATTTTTTTAACATAACTCTGATTATATTCGTCTGAAAGAAGAATTTCATATACACCTAGAATGAATTCAGAGTGAGTAAATCATGGACTAATTTTCATTTTTGGGTGAACTATCCCTTTAAGGAGTCCTCTCTATGATATTATTTCCTTTTTTTTACGCCCCCAAAAATACATAAATTCAGATATTAAAATCATAGAAGAGGTGTATTAGAGTCATTTTTTGTATAAATTGCATTTTTAAATAAATCAATACTGTAGATTCGGACAAAATTCTATTATGTGGCAGGTGACTGTAAATGTTGTAAAAGTGCTCTCTTTGTTGAATTTCTGTAGTTTTTTTTTTATACCTCTTAGCACAGTCCATTCCCTTTTGCCCCATTTCTAGAAAGTCTCTCATAGTGGAAGGCATGGAGGGGTCGAAAGCTTTCAGATCAATGACCCCCTGACCTTCTGCCTGCTCCACCCCGACCCTGATGCTCCCCTCGCTGCCTCTGTGGCAGAACTGGACGAGTCTCATAGCGGCTGAGCTTGAGCTGTCTCTGATGGTGCCTGCAGAAAATACGGCATTGAGTCTCCTCAAACTGAGCTGAGAGATACCCAGAATTCTCATCTATTAAAACAGAGGAAAAGAGACAGACAGAAGAAAGGACATAGAGCAGTGAAAGAGAGAAGTGGACAAACTTGAAAATAGATGCAGGATGACAGGATAAGTTATGTGCCCTTCAAGTGGAGTCAGATATAAATTAGGGCTGTGCAAAAATTAATTGTGATTAATCGCATCCAAAATAAAAGTCTGTGTTTACATAATATATTTGCGTGTGCTGTATATAATTATTTTGTATATATAAATACACACACATGCATGTATATATTTAAGAAAATGTGTTATTCCTATATAAAATATTTATATTTATATAATATAGATTATGTATTTATATACAAATACAGAATTTAAGCACAAATAATTATTAAATATATACATGCATGCATAGGTATTTATATATACAAAATAATTATATACAGCACACACAAATATATTATGTAAACACAGACTTTTATTTTGGATGCGATTAATCGCAATTAATTTTTGCACAGCCCTAATATAAATATAAACTGCTTTAAGGGGTCAAATTTAAATTTTGAGCAAATTTAACGATTCTTCGTTTATTGTTTACAATATAATTATTTTGTTTGTTTTTGAGGCTCTTGTGTTTCTGAATTGAATGCCCGACTCGGAGGCAAGTTTCCCAGGTGCACCAGAAGGCAGAATTGTTTAAAGACATCAAAGCAGCCCAGCCCAAGCGTTAGAAGGTTTTTCGATTATGTAACAATATTCAGCATTTGTCAAATTACGTATTATTTAAGACAGCCTATTTATCGCTAGAAATAAGATATCATGCAAGGCAGTGTAAATGAGAGGTCACTTTCCCTTGCATTCAGTTTCTTGCAGTGCTGATATCCTACCTGATCTTGGTGCAAAGAAGAAAAAAAAATAGTTTGATCGTGCACGTTGAAAAACGATTAAAAATGATCTGTCTAGGGTTTAATGTGTTATTTAATGTACCATCTCAATGTGGTTAAACTAAAATAGCTCAATCTTTGTACTTTGATACAAGTACAGCTCACTCTCTCGTCGATGTCATGTGACTTCAAGTGATGTCCGGATTCGTCAAAGAATCGTCTTCTGGGTCGGATCTTTTCATTGTATCTATTGAACCGGTTCTTAAATTTGACAGAAATGATTCATAACCTATATAAATCACCGTGAGGATTTTTCACGACCATTCATTAAAGACATACGAAACAAAACATTAGTTTTAAAGATGGGTGATTTAAACACATTTTACTATATACAGTATGTGAATTTTTTTAAAGACTCTATGGCTTCAACAAACTGAACTGGCAATCAACATTCTTCTTTGTTTATAAAACTGAATATAAAAGCGTAGTTTAGTGGCAAGATATAGCGTGCCAGCCACGACAGGATGATAAAAGAATTATGGATTTTTTTTTTTTTTTTTTACAGGTTTGCATTGTTCAAAAGAACCGATTCGCTGAAATGAGTTGGACATGTCATCACCGGTGACTTCCGGTTTGTATTTTGTAGTTTGAGGTGTATTTGTTGAGAAGGATGTAAATTAAGGAATATGTCATATTAAAATACATTTGTGGGTTAAAACATTATGCGTGTTAAACTCTCGCATTTGAAATAAATAAATGCATTAATTACACAATTTCTGTGCATTTTATTTCATTACAATGTTCAGAAAAACTACATTTTCATGCATCACGTCACATGACTCAATTTTGGTCATATGATCAGACTATATCAGCTCAGCTGACATCACGACTTCATTTCTGCAAGACGTGAGGAGGAAACGTGACGATGTCTGTAAGGTAAGTGGATTAATTATAATTTGTTAATGTTTAAAATACGTTTCCATCATTACTGCTGTTTTCTGGGGGTATATTGTGTTTGGAATGATCATTATATATTTTCAAATTGAATTATTTTACGTAACGTTACTTCCTAAACGTTCGATGTTGGTTCGTTACAAAATAGACGTGTCAAAATAGTTAACGTTATGCTGTGGAGATTTATTTTTTTCATTATGTTTCTTGGCAAAGTAACGTTAATGCAATGCAAATGACCTTTGGTTGGGGTTTTGTTCTTTGTTCCAGTTCCAGAGCAGGGGGTAAATTATAATGGCGGATTTTTATCGACAAAGACCCTTATAATGTGAATAATAATAATAATACAAATATGAATAAAATACCATTTGGGAAGTATTTAACCTTTTTATTAATTAATTATTTTGTGATTGTATATTTCTTACCACTGTATAGAAAGTAGGCTTATGAATCCAACTTTAATTGTAACCTTTTTATGTTGTTGTGCATTTAAAAAAAAAAAAAACAGTCGAGGGACGAATCAACCTGCAGCTTCCACAAAAACAGTTCCTCACGGCTTGATAATTAAAGTCTCAGCAAAACAGTTCGTCATTGCTGACATGACACTAAAAATAAGTATTGACATTTGAGATTTGATTTTGTCATATCAGCAGTTTTGCTGAAACTAGTCAAATAGTCTACTTCTCAAATGTCAATATTCAAATGTCAATATAGCTGCAAGTGGTTTATTCGTCCCTCATCATTCCAAAAGTTTCAGTGCATTAATTCGTTGGAATTGAATTGTCATTGCCATTTAGTTTATAAACAAGTTTTTAAAAAGAAACATTTTTCATATTCACACTTCAGTCCTTTGTCATAGTCTCAGTTCTTTGGACCCTACTCTACATGGATGCCAAAAGACATTTACATGTCAATCAAACATTATCAGAAATCATAAGTGCAGCTGAAATGAGTCGTGCTAAACATCAACTGATTTTTTTTTTTTTTTTTTTTTTCAATTCTTGAAGAGCCTCTCATGACCATAAGCATAATAACTAAGCAAGATTCATTAAACATTCATAAAAAGCAAATTTCTCAGCACACGTGTAAAGGTTTTAATCTCTTTTTTCCTTCCAGTATTCAGCCTATCCAGTGGACCTCTGACTGCAAAGACCCGAAGTGAGTAAACCCTGTCTCAAGCTCACAGACATGCAGTATGGTGTCTCTGTCTCATTTAAATTCAGAAGGGTGATAGACTACTTGGCAGTATTACATCACCACCACAGGAACTATGACTTTCTATGAACCAATCTTCACTGCTGTTACCTGCCCGGTCTGCTTTACAATCTACAACACAGAGACTTTAGACTTTAGACCGCTCTCTTATCCCTGATGTGTAAGAGTATAGTTAACTGTGTCGAGTGTGACTCTTTGTGGACTGAACTACAAAAAATAATCAGTTTTTGTGTCTTTATTTTCCAGTACACGTTTAACATTCTTAACCACATACCTGTAAATATACATGAAAAGCAAAATGACGTAATATAATGAGGCTTGCGTTTCAAGAATATATCTTGTTTTTTTTTTTGGCAAATCATTAATTCCTAGTCAACAATTTATTTAACAAACAAAAATAATGTCCGCGGAAGTAGCTTATTTATATACGATTATAGAGGTTATTAATATTTTGAATTAAGGTTTTTTTTTATTTTGTTGTGTACTGTGTACCGCTTTCATTTATTTTATTTCAGTTTTAGTCATTTTTTTGTACTAAAGCAACATTTGAGTATTTTCAAACTGTATATTTGCTATATTTTGAAGGTTGATTTGGATTGTTCTTCTTTTTTTTACAGTTTTGATGGCATTATCCTAATAACCCAAAGTTATGAGCAGCTGCCTGCTGAGCTGGAGTGTTTGAAAGCACCGTTGCAGGACTACAGTGCTGTGAGTTCAACACCACGCATCTAACCAGCACTGAGTTTTATATTCCTCTTTATGTTTTATTGCTCACTTCTGTCACTCTTCTCATCCAGGTGGACTGTTGCTTTGGGGAAGAGGTCGTGGTTGTCAAGGCTCCTGGTCTCCCTGGTAACAGATTGGTGTTTGCCTGCACCGGTCCAGTGAATCGGGACTATGATGATGTCCGGCGGTTCAGCGATGCTGCTGCTAAAGGCGTTAAGAGGTGCTTATGCAAACATAATGCGTGACGATCATCTTACATCCTCTGAAAACAACATTGTGTCTTTAATGTCCATGTCCTTGGCCTGTTGTCCTTCTAGACATATTTATGTCTTCTAAGAAGACTTTGAGGTTTTGTTTCATTGATCTGAACGATTTTTGATCATCCAGGGCTCTGAAAACCGGCATGCAGCGCCCTCTGCTGGTTTGCCCCCCACACAACAGCTATGCAAAAAACACCCTGACAGCTGTGCTAGGAGCCCTGCAAATTCTCTACATGGTGAGAAGTGTTGTTTTTGTTTGAATTTTACATTTTTAATATTTACTTATTTCATTAAAGCTGCAGTCCGTAGGGTTTTTTTTTTTTTTTCCTGGGTTAAAAAATCCAGAAAGGTCAAATGACAATCATCAGTGACAACTAGAGATTCATCATTTGTAAAAATGCAAAAGATATCGTTCAGACGGAGTGGCTACAGAAAAAAAGAGACTGCAACCAGACCCATGCGAAAACAAGGATACATATCGGAAGGACATTCACGCAATGCTGACGTTGTTAACATTAACAAGTTGAGAACAACGTATAATTTGCACGGTTTTGTGTGATATGATAAGCAATTATTAGATTTAATCAGCGTGATTTACTGCAATGTCAGAACCAGAACAAAAGTGGATGTTACTCACTTGTTCAGATGACATTTTCTGGTGAAAATTTTTTTTTTTTTTAATATTCTTCCAAAAAGAATAATCTGTGATTCTGAATGCCAGTATTGACACCGGCGCGGTGACTGACATCATCACAGTCTCCTCAAACTTTGTGTTCATCCGCACGGTGCCGTGTCGAGGGTGTTGAAGTACAACTCATGTAAAGTTGATAAGTCCGCGAATGACTGCAATTGCAGATTTCGAACAGAGATGGCGACAAAGAGGAAAAACTGCTTACTGCAGCTTTAAATGATCACATCGCATTAAAAATTCTGTTTACCCCAAATTGTGCATAGACTTCCTATTATGCTATTTTAAAGGTTCCTAAATTTGACCTAGAAAAGGTTTACATGCATCTAAGGTCAAAAACACTTTTATTTTCTCATAATATACAGTACATTGCACTTGACCTCACTTCCCAAAGAGTCTATAATGTTGAAAACATTGGATAAATACATTTTTGTCAGGTTAAATACTGATAATTAATCACTAAAATCCCTTATAACCGCCAGACTCGCACATCCTCCATGTCTATAGTTATTTTTAACCCTTTTTTTATTTTAATTTTTTTATTTTTTTTAGTTTTTAGTTCTAATCGAATCCTTGTCCAGTGCGCGATGGGTTTTGGGCAATATTATCCGTAAGAGTGTTCACAGATCTGCACTTCGGATTCTAACCAGTAAAAGTAGACCATCTAAAGTGCATGCAAAGTGAATTTGCTATTTTTGAAGAAATATTTACATTAGCAAAGGTCCTGCCGTCTGCGAATTAAATTAGTGAATTTGCATATATTGCCGAAAGTGAATTTGCTTTCGCAGCACAGAAAACCGCACCTTCTCGACATGTCGACAACACGAACGGAACCAATCTCGTCCAGGCCTCAGTTCCAAATATAGTGGAAAGCAGATGGTATTTGCGAGGGCCAATGAATATCATAGGTGACATTATGCAAATGTTTATTTTTTATAAAACGCTAAATGAAAGGGTATACATGAAAAGCATAATGTGGGCACTTTAAGCTAAAATAAAATATAAATGTTAAATAAAGAAATTAACTGTAAAACTCAAACGAAATAAAATGTTTAATTTCAATTACTAAACCTGGAATTAAAATAAAGCCAAAAGGAATGTATAAAATAAACAATTACTAAAACTTCAATTTAAATTTAGATAAAAACTAAACCTCTAAAAAGAAAACCAAATGCCTTATGTCAACCTACTTCTCTGCTCTCTAGTTTTAGCCCTTAATGCTTGTCAGTACCAGCGTAACCTAGTTAATATCTGTGTGGTCAGCCTCTAGAGGTGAGGGAGTCCAAGTCGTCCCCCGGCCATAAGGTGTCGATTCTGGGCATCTGGGTGAACAACCAGACTCAGGGAGACGCCATTACTGAGATGGCCACTGCTCTGGAGAGCGGCAGGTATGAGTGTGTGTCCTTTACTGTGTTCTCTGGAGCATCATTTTGCGTTTGTGAAATAAGCAGCAAAAAAGATCAATTGTGTGTGATGCAGGTTTGTCTGTCGTGATATCGGTGGCTCTGACCCGGAGAGAATGGCTGCCCCGCGTGTGTCTGAGTATGTTCAAGCAGTCTTCAAGGATAGTCCTGTAACGGTGAGTCTTTGAGTGACTGTATAGAGTTTGAAGGTTATCTCGTGTCAGTAAGAATAGCATGCTTCATTCATCTCCGTGTGTTTCTTAGGTGACTGTAGTGAGTGATTTGAAAACTCTGGAGAAGGAGTACCCCTGTTTGGCTGCAGTCAACCGCTGTGCTAACAGTAAGAGCACGGTTTAATATGGAATTTATGGATATACTACCCGTTTAAAATAATATGGAATTGCAGAGAAATGTTACTCTTATATAAACACAGCTTGTTTCGGATCAGTTATAGCCAAAACTACGTGTATATATATATATATATATATATATATATATATATATATATATATATATATATATATATATATAATGAAAAATAAAAATTCCATTAAACTTGTAACTTAAAATTGTATTGCGGTGCAAACTTTGTGACTACAATCCAAGTCAAAAACATATGCAACTGTTCTCAAAAATGGTCTTTTGTAGAGTGAAATTAAATGTTTTAAATAAGACAGAGAATACCAGTGCATAAGAATCCTTTATTCATTCAACTTAATCTATATGCATAAGGTTCTTTACCACAGGTTTCATCCCTCAAAGTATTGATCCATACCGAGAACCAAGTCTGATAAATAAAATAGAGAAAATGCAGGATTTAATTATTAATAAATGATTCATAATAACGTTTTATTTCAAACACTGAATTTGTTGAATTTTTCCAACAGAACAAAAAAAAAATATTATTTATTATTTTCATTTATTTTTAATTTTTATTTTTTGCAAAGAAATGAGTTCTTTATTCCACAAGGATTCGAAAAATTATCAGAAGTGACAATAGAGACATTTATAATGTCACAATACGATGCTATTTGAAGTAAATGCTGTTCATTTAAAGCTGCAGTCCATAGCTTTGGGGGGTTAAAAATGTAGACAACATTGGATAATTCAATTTTTGTCAGGTTAGATACTGATAATTAATCACTCAAATCCCTTAAAACCGCCAGACTCGCACATCCTCCATGTCTATAGTTTTTTAAACACTTTTTGTAGTTCTAATCAAATCCTCGTCCAGCGCACGATGGGTTTTGGGCAATATTACCCGTGTTCACAGTGTTCACAGATCTGCACTTCGGATTCTAACCGGTAAAAGTAGACCATCCAAAGTCCATGCAAAGTGAATTTGCTATTTTTGTCAAAATATTTACATTAGCAAATCGAATCAAATTAGTGAATTTGCATATATTGCCGAAAGTGAATTTGCTTTCGCAGCAACCGCATTTTCTCAACATGTCGACAACACGAACGGAACCAAACTCTTCCAGGCCTCAGTTCCAACTACACTGGAAAGCAGAGATTGTTTGCGAGGACCAATGAATACCATAGGTGACATTATCAAACTTTGACCTTTGAAATTTTTCAGACCTTTTACATTAATAAACAGCTTTTATAATGCACTAAATGAAAGGTTATACATGAAAATCATAATATGGGCACTTTAAGCTGAAATAAAATATAAATATTAGATGAAGAAATTAACGGTAAAACTGAAACGAGACTTAGAAATGTTGCCTCAGCGACTAACTGAAATAACATGTTTAATTTCAATTACTACAACTGGAATTAAAATAAAGCCAAAAAGAAATGTATAAGACAAATACAATTTCTAAAACTTCAATTTAAATGTAAATAAAAACTGAACATCTAAAAAGAAAACCTAATTCAAAATATGAATAAATACTATACATGAAAAACTAATTCAAATAGGAAAGTTACTTTAAATTAACAAAAAGTTTACAAAAAGTTGCTGTATTCAAATAAATGCAGCCTCGCTGAGCATAATGAATTTCTTTCAAAACAATTTAAACTCTATGGTCTATATTCATAACTGTTCCTATACTACGTTGAGTTATGACTCTTGGGTAACAAAATTTCAAGTGTCTAGATCAGACTTGAAATGCCTGAAAATACTCTTACAGACCCCAAACGTTTTAACTGTATTATATATGAAATATATAATATAATATAAAAGACACTTAAATATTTTTAACTAAATCTTTTACATTTGTCAATTAAAGAAGTAAAGTCAATAAAAGCAAGCATGTGGTTATTGTTTTTTTTTTTTTTTTTTTTTCACCTAGTACAGTAAAAGTAGGAAGAGGTATGAGACCATGACCCAGACAAAGACTGCATCTCTGGATCTCATTAGTGATGTGTCATTAAAGGAGGTGTATGCAAGAAATTTATTTCAAGTAATCATAAATTTTCCCTGATATGTCACTAGACATTAAGAAATCATGTTCATTTCAAATATTTGTATCACTGACAACAGTAGTCCGGCCAGTATATTGTCATTTAAAAAGTGAAGTCGCAGCCTTTGACTGATGTGAATGGAATGTTGTCAAGTTGTGTTTTGTTCTGATGCGTCACCCTCCACCGATCTACCAATCACAGACTCGGTAGTGTTGCGGCATTCGAGTTGCCAGCTCTTCTCTAGTTACCACAGCTGCAGATACAAACGTTTCGAAATCGGATAAAAAAATTCTAATGTTGCGAAACCCCCCAAAAATCAATATGAATCCGAAATACTTTGTTACAAAGTCCGAAATAAATAATTAACAGAAAGAAAAAAAAACTCACTGTTTAGGACTTGTCACTTGCCATTGGAAACTTCTTATAGCAGCCTACATTCCTGCTGGACCCTGCAGCATATCTGGCAACCTCCAGTCACCCTAATACACCCTAATTTTAAAGTGATTGCAGTACCAGTTTGGGCAACAATCTTGAATACAGCTCCTTTAAGTTAAAAGGCTGCTGTTTCTTCTTCAGCTGTGCCGCGACATCAGGCCAGAGTGATCAAGCTGCTGTACTGTGGAGAAGGACCCATTCAACAGACTCTCATGGTGGTTGGCAAGGTAATATTTCAGTTCATTGTATCTGGACACCCAGGACAGAGCATTTTCTAGTCCATATGAACATTGCATGTTGTTTCAGGGCGTTACGTACGACACCGGTGGAGCTGACATCAAGGCCGGTGGAATCATGGCTGGAATGCACAGAGATAAATGCGGATCTGCTGCTGTTGCTGGATTCTTCCAGGTACGGGTCCCACACACACACACACCTGCTCGTGTTCCTGCCGGTCAGAAGAATATTAGAGACTAATATCATTATTGTTGTTTTAGATCATAGCCAAACTGAAGCCCAAACACCTGAAGGTTGTGGGCGCGATGGCAATGGTGCGGAACAGTGTCGGGTCTGGTAAGCAACTTTTTCTGCACGTGTTGACCAGTTTGGGTGTCTGTTACTGAGTGTGTTATGTGTTTTTTTTTTTACCCTTTGACAGATTGTTATGTGGCGGACGAGCTAGTGGTGTCTCGCGCTGGTCGTAGAATCCGAATTGGAAACACTGATGCTGAAGGAAGAATGGCCATGGTGGACTTGCTGTGTGAGATGAAGGAGCAGGTACATGCCTATAGCAGCATATAGAATATTATGCATTACTATTTTAAGATTTAAAGGGTCCTATCATGAGATCAAGTTCCTCTTGTTAAATGTGTAGCACCTACAGCTCTGCACATCTGTTTAGATGTTAGTAACAAGCATCTGGATTTTAATGCTGCGTTCACACCGAACGCAAATAGCACGTCAAATTCGCGCCTGACGCGTCTAGTTTGACTCTTGACCACTTTGTGTTAATTCGCGTGTCAAGAGTTAAACTGACGCGCGTAAAAACAAAAGTTTGAAGCGAAATCCGTTGGCGGCCATTGTTTTAATGTCGACCGAGCATTCATCAAGAGTTACCGCTCTGTATTTACTCTGGAGAGCAGAACAGCGGCGTGGGGATCATCAGCGCTGTATATTTGTCCACCGGACCCTTCATTATTTTCTCTCTCACGTCCAGACACGAACTTGTGCACATATATGTTGGTTGTCTTTACATCATAATAATATTTCATATAATCTAGATATGGAATCAATAACATTCAATACAAAATGAACATGTCTCGTATATTGAAATAAAGTTTTAGGTGATAAAATATTTGCTTTGTTGTGCATAATCCCACCATGCATTTAGTCATATTACAAAATAATTTATTGAAGCATCCAAATACTTCACCACGTGAGCAAGCAGCTAGGCTCCTGATTGGTTAACGCAATGCGAATTGACGCCAAAGTTCAGATTTTTCAACTCGGGCGGCAGACGCGAATTCGCGTCAAACGCGTGAATGCACAAATAGCACTAACTAAATCATTCGCGCTTAAAGGGTTCGTTCACCCAAAAATGAAAATTCTGTCAGTATTTACTCACCCTCATGTTGTTGTCACAAAAGTGTGCTCGTCGTTTGATAAACTTAAGATTGAGCCCCTGTAGTCACTTGGACTATTTTAACGATGTCTTTAATGACTTTTCGAGGACAGCAAGAGCCAGTCCCTCAAGAAGCCTATGGACTGTATGCAGGAGCGATCTTAATATCTTAAATATCTTAATTTGTGTTCCGAAGATGAACGAAGGTCTTACGGGGTTGGAACAACATGAGGGTGAGTAAATACTGACAGAATTTTCATTTTTGGGTGAACTAACCCTTTAACGTGCCAGACGCTCAATTCGCGCAAACTTAACGCGCAAATGAGGCGTATTCGCGTCTTCCGCGCCGCGCTCTACGCTTCATTCGCGCCGCAGGAATTTTTTACGCGTGTAACGCATCTTTGCATTGACTTAACATTGAAATCATTTGCGCCTGACGCGCTATTCGCGTCCGGTGTGAACGCACCATAACAAGGTCCCTGATCTCTTCAGTCTGACCAAAATTTTAACAGTATAAACTATATATGAAATATATATATATATATATTGTGAGCTGCACAATTTTAGCACAGTTCGTTTTTTGAAACGTCATAATAATGCAGGCTTCGCATAGATTTTGTCTTTTTTTTTCTATTTAGCTATTTTTTTATTTCATGCTTATTTCAATTGTAAAATGAATAACTCTTTCCCCGCCAGTGTTTTTGAGTATTTTCACAAATTAATTAAAAGTAATTCGAGTAAATAACAGGTGACATAGATTTACTTATTGTAGAGTTAACAAAAGATATCATGAGCAATGTAATGTTTGAAGCGACATCATGACAAATGTCAGTAGCATGGGACGATTTTAAAATGAGCGGTTCATTCATAAATCCGTAAGATTTTACCCCTCATGTTCTGAAAGTACAAACTGGGAAGACCGAACACAACGAGCCCAGTGCTGAAATGGGGCGGAGCTACATAAGGTCTATAACAGTAAAAAAACAAGGAAAGCTGGAAAATGTAATCAAAGGCAGGGAAAGAGTTAAATATGACATTGATCCTTTTTGGTGGTCTGGACCTCTCGTGTCTGTTTCTCTAGGCGTTGCGGGAAGTGTCTCCTCATCTCTTCACTATTGCCACTCTGACCGGACATGCTATCAGGGCCATGGGGGCGTACTACTCGGTGAGTACTTGAATATCTTCATCACACATCAGTGCTACTGTGACCGCTTTCATCTTGACCGTGTCCCTGTAGATCATAATGGATAACGGTGCTGCTCAACGCTTAGGAAACGCTCTGCAGTGGCAGAAAGGTAAGAAGAGATTAGACCTTTTTGTTTCCATCTACGTAGTTGGATTTGTCTGAAATCTGTTTGCGTGGCAGCGGGAGAGGTGCTGGGAGATATGTTTGAGGTGTCCACTGTCCGTCGAGAGGATTATGAGTTCCACAAAGGGAAGTCTGAGTACGAGGAGATCCTCCAGTCCAATAACCTGGCTTCGTCTGCCACGCCACGCGGACACCAGGCGCCCGCCGCATTCCTCATCATGGCTTCTGGACTGGATAAGGTAGATGCGTACATGCAGGAATACATTTTTAAGGCTATAAAAAAAAGTCTTATAGTTTGTCAAATAAAATGCAGAACCACCACAAATATAAATTGGTGACACTGACACAATGAAAATGTGTACGTACACACACACACAGGAATACATTAGCGAGGCCATAAAACTATAGAGGCTAACTGTTTTGTTTTGTTTTTCTCAATATGTAATGTAACTGTTCATTTCAGTTCATTTCTGTTGTTTTTACCTTTTTTTCTTTTACAGTACTGAAAACGTTGGTTTAAAACTATAGAATTATATTAAAAACAGATATTTGAAATAAATAATAAAATCTAAAGACTGAAATATTTTTCTTTCTAACATCTTGTTCAGTTTTGATTCTAAACATAATGTAACATTATTGAAAAACTTTAGTCCGTACAAAAATGCTAAACTTTTAACAAAAAGTTTGTATTTTTGTTATAATTGTAATTTTTATAATATTTAGATATGAATCCAACTGGAAAAACTTGTGAAAAGATATATAGTTTGGTTAGTCAAATAGCAAATAGCATGTAGTGGAGGTCTATCATGGCCATCTAGCGGTTAAAGTGATTTTTTTTTTTTTTTTTTAACTGAATTTTCCCAAAAAATTTTTTAAAATCTTACATTAAACCATGTAAAATTATCCATGTTAGCTCATGAATGAAAATTAGAAATCTGGGTCTTTTGTAAAGTGAATTTTACATACAATGCTGTTTAAAAAAAGCCTATTTAAATATACATTTATTTATTTATAGAAATTTTAAAGATATCAAACATACTCCAAAAAACTGCAATAATGTTGAGTAAAAACATTAATAAACAGAGTAAAATTACATCTGTAAAGAAAAATATATATTACTGTTACAAAATTGAATGTTATTGTCAGAGGTCCCTGGAGACCCCAAAGATAATGAGTGTAGACACCAATGAAGATAATACAAGGATTAAGAAATGACAGTGGCTGTAGCATTTCTATTGTAAAGAAGAACGCAAATATTAAAGATTAAGTGGACATTTGCTGTTTGGCTAATATTAAAGGGTTAGTTCCGAAGGTGACCTTCGTTCATATTCAGAACACAAATTAAGATATTTTTTGATGAAATCTGAGAGCTGGATCACTCCTGCATACTAGTCCATAGGCTTCTTGAGGAAGTGAAACTTGCCAGCCCCGAAAAGTTATTAAAGACATCGTTAAAGTAGTCCAAGTGACTTCAGTGGCTCAATCTTAACTTTATCAAGCGACGAGAATACTTTTTGTGCGCAAAAACAAACAAAAATAACGACTTTATTTCAACTATTCACTTCCTTCTCTATGGGCCTCTAGTCAGTTAACGTAGTGTGATAGTGTAGAGCTACGTCACACATAGGCTCACTATTGGCCGACGCTGGTCATGTGTGTGATGTGTGTGACATACAATAACAGAAGCTTACGCTGTTACACTAGTGAACTCGAGGCAAAGAGAGAAATAAACGAATGGTTGAATTAAAGTTGTTATTTTTGTTGTTTTTTGCACACAAAAAGTTTTCTCATCATTTGATAAAGTTAAGATTGAGCCACTGAAGTCACTTGGACTATTTTAACGATGTCTTTAATAATTTTTCGAGGCCAGCCAGCTCTCAGATTTCATCAAAAATATCTTAATTTGTGTTCCGAAGATGATCGAAGGTCTTACGGGGTTGGTACAACATGAGGGTGAGTAAATACTGACAGATTTTTCATTTTTGGGTGAACTAACCCTTAAACAAGGATTTGAACTGAAGTTTAACCACAACAATCACAAGGCTGATGGCGCCCTCTGCAGGTATTTGTTGTAATGTACATAAGTCCATTGTTTATATTATGTACAGCATATCACATTGTGTTTAACAGTGTTGTTCATTAAAACCATATGATTACTTGCTTTTGAACCAATTATAATTGCTTTATTCTATATGTATTTTAAGTCATTTTAAAGGCTATTGTTCTCTTAGGTCTTTTTATTACTACTAAAATTATCTGGTTATTCATAAAAAATAATCTATTACTAAAATAATCATTAGCGACAGTTAACTAATTAGTTAAAATGCAAATATTTTGACTTTCAGAATTTTCCAGTCATATATTTCATGATTGAAGATTTCTTAAAAGGCCTCAGTCTTGTGAACCCAATATCACGTATCAAATATTTAACAGCATATGAATCAAAACTACCTTAACATAACAGAATGACATTTTTTTAACATGCAAAGTCTTTGACAAAAATGCCATTTTCTCAGCTTTTTGTTCAAAATGTTACCAACTTTAAAAGTGTTGAGGAAAAAGAAATAAATGAATTTAGTTTTTTGTTCACATTATCATACAAAACATTCTGAGGGCCATGCACATTTTGTGAATATAATCCAAAAACCGACGTTGTCTGGCAAAAATACATTTAATAACCATCTACACATTTGCCCCGCAGCATGGAGTGGACTCGGACAAACCTCTGCCTTACTCCCATATCGACATTGCAGGATCCTGCGGCCCTTTCCCTGGGGTCCCAACAGGAGCCCCAATACTTGCCATGGCGGCAAACTACCTGCAGCTCTAAACATCCGTCCAATGATTTTCTGTTCCTTAATGAATTCAATTATTTCTGTCTTGTGCCATTTCTCGATTAATGGCTTTCATATCTGCTCCGTCTGACACAGAGTGGCCAAATAATGGCACTTTTATCCTTCCATTTATGAATGCCATCCATCTTTATCATTTTATCACTTCAGTTCATACATGCATACATGTCCTTAAAAAAACCCATATGCTCCTCTCTCATACACATCTGATATAATGTTATCATTTTGAACCGGTGCAGGTTCTCTGTATCTTATACGCATTTACCGAAATGAATTAACCAAAGCAAAGTGTTTTATTTCCATTCTTACCCTGTAGCCTTACAGTTTCTCCGTTGATGTGACGTTAAAGAGAGGGGGAAGAAGTTGAGCCAGTGATTTGATAACACATTTCATCTGTGATTTTTTTAGCAATACTGTTAGATTGAGAATATTGCATATTGTGTAACTGCCCATTTTGTATGTAATCAAAATATGAGAATAAAAACTTTTTGGCAGACAAAAGAAACATGATGTCTTCTGTATCCAACTGGAAGTCCAGTTTATCTGTGACCATAAGAGTAAATGTCTCTGAATACTGGATAGAATATGATTTGAAAGTTGGTGAAATGCCAAATTAAAATGTGCATTTAAAATGTTTTAATTTACCATTTTGTTTTATTCGGAACACTTTACAATAAGGTTCAATTCGTTAATATTAAAATGAACTAATGATAAGCAATACCAATATGTATGATAAAGAATATATTAATCTTAGAAAATGTTGATTTTAACATTAGAAAATTTGTATTAACTGGCATTAACAGAGGTATAAAAGTATATTACTTATTGTTAGTTCATGTTAATGCATCGACATATTAACAAATGAGAACTTAAGTGTTGCTGCTTTATTTAAAACAAGTAAACCATTTTAAATTTCAAGTGTTTTGAAAAAGAAGAATTCAATAATTTGGTTATACTTCAGTTTAATCCAATTCTCACTTTTTCTTCAAACTCTTATTTACTGCATATTTATAGTAAAGAATTTAAGTTTGGGTATTGAGTAAGATTAAGGGACGTAGAATACAGTCATGCAGAATTATAAAATAAAATAATTTGATTCTTATTACATGATTATTTAAATTAGCCAAACACACGCGTTTCTTTTAAATGTAATGTACTACTGTATGATGTGAATTTAGGAATGTGTGAAGGCAGCTTCACAGTTGCAAATGTTGCAACTGTAACATTTTTAACTTTTTATAAAGTATTCACAGTGTTTTACTTTTTCCACATTTCGTTACAGCCTTATTCCAAAATGGATTAAATTAATTATTTTCTCCATTAATCCATTTTGGGATAAGGCTGTAACAACATAAAATGTGAACAAAGTGAAAAAGCTGTACTGTAAGTAAATATATATATATAAATAAATAAAATAAAAATATATAAATAAAAATATACATATAAATAAATATATATATATATATATAATGAAAAATAAAAATTCCATTAAACTTGTAATTTAAAATTGTATTGCGGTGCAAACTTTGTGACTACAATCCAAGTCAAAAACATATGCAACTGTTCTCAAAAATGGTCTTTTGTAGAGTGAAATTAAATGTTTTAAATAAGACAGAATACCAGTGCATAAGAATCCTTTATTCATTCAACTTAATCTATATGCATATGGTTCTTTACCACAGGTTTCATCAGAAAAAAAAAAGAAAAGAAAAGAGGAAAAATGTAACCCTCTACAAAATTTGATATAGCCTCTCTTTGTCTTTACATATTCTGTTCACTCAACACACAGCAAGCAGTGACAACTAGAGACCATGAGCAGCTCTGAACCCCGTTTAATAGTTGGGCGTTCTAATAATCAAGTGCTTAAAAACCCCCAATAAGATCTCAGCAATTCCAGCAGAAAAAAAAAGATGATTTCTCATTTGCATGTTTATGTATTAATGTGTCTGATTTTGAAAGGCAGTTCTCAGGATAGACAAATAACAGCTCGTAAGTTGAATTCAAACTGAAGTTCGCGGACAAAAAATGTGTGATGTCATGTGTAACAATCAGCGTATTTTGAGGAATAACTCAAATCCATATCCTCACTTCAGGTTCCTCTTTTTTCTACCAGTAGCATTGCTAATATTTATACCAAGACTTAAATCATGAAGGTTGAAGTATAAGGGCGTCACAGATATGATGAAGGGGGGCAGGACATCTCTACAGCTGGCTGACTGCTACCTCAGGACCCCCCGAAATACATCACTGCAACCCATTGCCAACAACCAGATCTTTTTCTCTATCCACTTTCTGGACAATAATGGAGAATCGGCACTGGACTACAGCGCCATGTCAAATAGAACTGCTCTAAAGCTCTTTAAACGCTAATAGGAGACACATACGCTGAAGTTACAGGAGTCTGTTGTTCCTGTAAGTCTCTTCTGTAAGACTGATCTATAATACTGAGTCAATGGCGAGTACAATCACTGACGCTATTGAACTTTCTGCTGGTCACTGAGCGTCAGGACAGGGTCTCGTTCAACTGGGGCATGAAAGGAGGAAAGCTGCTATTGCGGGATATAATGAAACCAAAGCAAATGGGAGGAATAAGGCAGGAAAGTGACGGAGTGAAGGGTGAACTTCAGTGTTTACTTGGTGTGAACCATAGAGGTGCTGAACAGAAGCTTCTGCTTTTTCTTTTTCTTCTTCCCCCCTTTCTCAACTAAAAAGAAAAGAAAGGGAATGTAACAAACGTTCTGGAAATCACTTTCAATCCGCTTTCAATTTTTCCTTCGTTTCAGAGCAAGCTAGTTAAGGGGAGATTCATTTGAAATGATTCATTTGAAAGGTCTCTTTTCCAGAAGTCCCTGAGAAGTATTTTATGCACTTTTGTGGTTTAACAAATGTTTTATTAGTATTATTTAAGTAAACTTGACTTTAATGCAGTCAAACAAACTTTTATCATTTCAACAACAAAAAAAAAACTAACTGATGACACTTTATTTTTTTTATTTTTTTGAAGAAATACATATTTTTAATGAGCAAGGATGAAAAAAATAAAAAATAAAAAATTTTGCAGGATGTAAACACTGGTCCAGAAGCACTTCCTGTTTCAGTTTAACACTACATAAAACCTGGGATAGAATACAACTAACAGAACATGTAAAGCTGAATCAAAAACTTAAACAAACATCTTTAAGATATTTTCTTTACATGTGAAATAAAGAAAACAGTTACAAACTGAAACAGGAAGTGCTTCTGGACCAGTGTTGTTTAAATCTTGCAAAATGGTCTATAGTAAGAACATGTAGTTCATTATTATTACTCCGCATTCCACTGTAACACGGCACCTTAAAATAAACTAACTTAACCTCTTTTTGAACAGTAGTGTATATAAATGTTTTTCTCACCAGGGATGGGTAAAGCCTGTGCTGGGCCTTGATTTCCATTGTCCAGCTGAGACAAAGCCTGCTCGAAGGCCTGACTGAAGGAGTTTTGGAAACTGGGTACTGGGACCCGATCCGAGCCGTCACTCTCTCCATCACTGTCTGCCATAGGAGGGGCCAGGAACATGTCTGCTATGGAAGAAAACACACACGTCACTACAAAACTACGCTGATAAGAGTTAGCTAACAGTGAGCCAACAAGAAACAAGTGCATCAGTCAGGTCAAGTGTTGACAGGAGGCTTACTTTTCTTTGGGATGCTTTTTGGCGCGGCATCCACACGGGCTTTCCCATCTTTTAGCATCTACACCAGAGAGGATCATCAGTATGGGACAATTTGACACTGACAATGGCATTATTTTTTTACTATATTCAAATTTAGCTTTAGTGCAGATTTTCCCACTACATGAAGACAATGTGATGGCTACGAAATTGACTATTTTGTTGTGATAAAAGTAAAAAAGTGCTTTAGGCAAACCTGAGCGAAGGACATGCAGTGAGAGTCCTCTTCCACACTGGCGACACTCAAAGATGGACTGTGCTCACTCAGATTAGGGAACATCACTCCATCTGAAATAAATATGAGAAATGAGCACAAAAGAAAGCACTGAAGAGAGAGAGTGAGTGAGTGAGTGAGTGTTACCTGATAAAGGGCTGGTGCTCAGAGGGGACGGGGGTCCCAGCAGGAACTCTGGGATGTGCATCCCTGATCCGCTCTGAGGAGGAGATCCAAACGCAGGAAAATGCTGGAGGTTCTCCAGCCCAATGTGCACCTCTGGATCTGAACACGTCAAGACATTCAATGAATCACACCCCGACAAACCAACTACAACATCTGAATCGAGTTCAAAAATCTGACATTTTGTCTATTTAAAAAACATCTCCTCTGAAACAATAAGCAATGGGGAATTAAATCCTCACATTTCCCCTGTTTCCTGTTCTCCTCCATCTCAATCCTCTTCTCCCTTCTTTTTTCATCCCTTGCTTTCTTCTGTCTCAGACGCTTCCGTTTCTCCAAGTCATCTGCAAGACAAACACAAATATTTTTTTTTTTTTTTTTGAGATATGTAGTATAATAGTTTCCCATTTCCACTTTGCACTTTCTGTGAGAACCATGTTTACAGTTTTCCACCAAAATAAAAGCTAGATGGTTTAACTCTTGCAAGTTCAGAAATTAAGACACAAGTTGTTATTTTACTAGACTTATTTAATATTTCTTTATCACTTACATGTATTTTATAGTGGAGATGTATTACTGTATTGTATTATTTAGCACGCAGTACCTGCGAAGCTGTCCAGGGTCTCTTTAGAGAGAACGGGTGGCTGAAGATTAAGCTCACACAGGCTGAACTCACACGTGAGGGGCAGGTGAGAGAGGTACCGATGCCGACGGCGAATATCCTACGAATGAGCTCTGTGTTAATTACTTCATCATAGCAGGCGGCATTACTTAAATCCTGATCCTTTGAGAGGAACATTAATTCACTCTAGTCAAAGATTATTTTTACACACAAAAATAACCATATTTAATGCCACGGTGTTAACTGGGCACTGAGGTCATCTGAAAATATGTGACAGTACTGTCGTAAATGTGAGGGACTGTGTGTACCTCAGAGACTGTTTGTCCATCAATCTCCACTACGGTAGCGGTGATAGACTGAGGGCTGTTCTCCAGGCTCCCGTACTCTCTCAGCAGACAGCGCACGTTCACCGGGTGCAGAAACATCTGCTGACCATCCTCAGCTACAGAGAGAAATAACAGTCATAATTACTCTCCATCTCCATTGCTTACAGAGTTACGGTGGTATAATATAACTGGAAAAGACTATTTAAAGCCTCATTACAAATAGAATAACACACACCTTGATAGAAGTAGTAATATGGGCCATGATGAGCAGTCTGACTGGTCTGAGGGGTCTCTTCTACAGGTTTGTCTTCCAGAGCCCCTTCAGGCATCTCTTCAGCCACCTCAGGAACACTTTGAGCGGTCATCTCTTCCACTGGCTCCTCATGAGCCTCCTGAAGCTCATCATCAAAAGCTGAGGCATACTGCATGATGGG